TGATCCAAAACTTCCATTAAACTGGAACGCAGATTGGCACCACACTTCAAAACGACACAGGAGAACTTGGTGCGTTCGTAGTGTGCGTCTTCCTCTTCTGTCCTCCTCTGTCTGCTGTCTCAGTCTCACCAGCTGTCTGTCTGTGCGCGTCCCGGGAAAAATGCTTCTTACAGCTCGAGTGCGCGCTTACCTCCGTTCCTTTCCTCGCTCTCTTATGCTTGCGCTGTTTCCGACCAAGCACACACGGGATCACACTTATTCTACGAGTTGCTGCAAACTGTGCACAACCCTGCAGCGACTTCCGTTTAAAATAGACCATACCTCTTATTGTAATGAAATCAGTTTTCTTTGTAAATGCACTGGTGAGTCGTGGGTCATCACGAGTATAGGCTATCACACAGACTCGACTGTTTTACGCATGCATTGCAAAGCACCCAATGCAATGAACCTGTAACAGTGATGCTGCGAACGAATCCTCTCCTCAGAAACGAACTTCTCAAGAAAGCATCAGCGAGTCAAATAAATTCGTACCCGCTCGCGCACACACAAACACACTTACTGTCAAGACCAAAAGCGCGAAATTGTGTGTGTGCGCGCTCGTGTGTGTCAGAGGGGTCCTCAGGGAAACAACCCGACTTCCCTTCTCCGAGTGATCAATGTACTTTCTTAAACGTCCAGATACACCACTCGTCTTTCCAGTAACACATCCTTTGGATTAAAATAATGTAAAATCGATCATTTTAAAAGGCCTCCGGGTGAGGCGGGCGGTGGGATGAATAAGGGCTTACAGCTCCAGGAGGTAGAAAGACTCCAGAGCTGTCTTTATGTCACAGAGTGCACCCAGCGTGTTGTCTTTTGGACCATGTGGTCTCCAGGGTTCTATAAAGGTTCCTGGCCCAAGCAAAATGAACAGTCACTAATTAATAACACAGATATTCACTTAACTAACTTTCACTTTCATATCTCCTCCCAAATTCATTGCTAAATTGACAAGACCCCAAATTTGTCCAGGTGCACGCCCCTGCTAGATCTAAATACTGCATGGCCAAAATATCATCCAGTGCACAGTTTTTTGTGTTGTTTGAGCTCCCACTCACAAAAATACTGCAAGTGTTAAAAATTTTAAATCAGCACTCCTTGGATTTCACATGATTCAGGCTTTACACCAAAGCTGTTCTTATATTCATTCAAACCTTGGCTTAGTAGGGGAGTGAATTTCCACCAGTGTCAAACATAACATTTCAAATCAGGATGTGAAGCAAGGTCCTTCTGCAGTGCTTTGATACTTACAAGGTGGATACTGTTTTGATGTCAATTCAATTAGGAAACTATAGCTGTCAAAAATGTACTTCAAAGAATGTGCAGTCAAAGACTGGGTCATTATTTTTACTTGAACTTTATCATTTTAGCATATATTAACTCTTCATGCATTTCTCAAGTCAGTATATGAAATGTCCTGTATGGGACCATGTTTACATATTTAGTAAAATAGGAAGGGATTTCTCATCTTCTGTCCAGACTGAGGCACATATACAGTTTTGCAAACCTGCTGTGCACCTGTCAAACCAAGCATTGGAACTGACCCATTACTTGCAATTACTGTATCTTTAAAGCAGTTCTTGGCCCAACCCTTCCTGGCCCATTATTAATATAAGATTGTGGGTGTGGGGTAATCAAATGTGCTTTAAGCTGCAGCTGGGCAAAAACTGCAGGAGTGCACAACAAAGAATACATGTGAAAAAAAAGATAAATAAATTAAAAGGCAGTGACATCTGCAGCTTACACAATAGGAAATACAATATCAGTAAAAGTGTTTCTACTTGTGTTTACTCTTGCTTTGACTGGCTGGATGGCACAGTCACACACCTTTCCAGAACCATGGGCATCATTACACTGGCACTGAGACAACAGCTTCATTCATTATTTAAATCTTACGACAAGACACCAGGTTTAACTGTTAATTGGCCATGTCCTTTTCCCCTGTTAACAATTAAAATCCAATGAGAGCAGTAATAATTGTACTTTGTGATGAATTTTTTTTAAATGAGTGACAATGCTGGTCATGTTGAATTCTATGCACATATTCATAAATATGTTGTGATACAATACTCAATAAAATCATTACGTCTAAGTGCCCTTTAATAAATGATGTATAGTATAGACTATTTACTCAAGTACTATACTGAAGTACAATTTTGACATATATTTTACCTACAGTACATTCAGTTTATAAAATATGAATTACTGAGTAAACTACTCAGGAGCATATCCATCCATCCATTATCTATACCTCTTATTCCTGAAGAGGGTCATAGGGAGGCTGGAGCCAATCCCAGTTGGCACTGGGCAAGAGGCAGGGTCCACCCTGGACACGTCACCAGTCTATCACAGGGCTGACACTTAGAGATAAACAGCCACACACACACTCACTCCTACAGGAAATTTAGAGTCACCAGTCAACCTAAGCTTCATGTCTTTGGACTGTGGGAGGAAGCCGGAGTACCTGGAGAGAACCCAAGCAGGCATGGGGAGAACATGCAAACTGTGCACCGGGTCGGCCTGAGCTCGAAGCCGGAACATTGCTGCAAGGCGACAGCCCTATCCACCATGCCACAATGCTGCCCCTCAAGAGCATATGAAGGAGTTAAAATTACCTTCACCTCTACCAACTACAACATTAAATTACTTAAGGAAATTATAAACATTTCTTCCACTACTGTAAGTATTATACAATTTCTTCCAGCAATATAGTTATTTTAGCAGATCATTATATAAAACAGAAATTCTGTTAATTAGGGTGTTTGATTTTGGTCATCTCATTGGATTATTAATTTAGCATAGCTGAATGGTAAAAAGATTTCATTAAGTTAATATAAATGTGGGAAAAAGCTAATTCTTCATGAATACAGTATGATTTTGAACTTGAGCTATCCTAGATCTTTATGAGATCCTATTGGTATAATAAATTTTGTACAAGATCACAATACCCATGTTGTATATTGTGCATTGCAGTTTTATTATTTTGCACGGATTGTCCCTTGATAGACAAAATAGTGACTGTTATGTAAAATCATATCTGTCACATAAAACACATTGTCATAAACACATTTTCAAACCCAGAACAAGCAGAGGGACAAACTGAGAGTGGCAGACAAAGATAGATTTGGTCTCCTGTTAAGACTGACTGCAGAGTAATATTTACCACTGTGGCATACCACAGTGGCTGAGTGAGCAGCAGACTGAATCATCTATTCCTCTCATCTCTTTGTGTGTATGTGTACATCTTTGCTGGATTTAAATAAAACTCAGTATGTATAAAGCACCCTCCTGTATCATCATCATCTTCTTCTTCTTCTTCCTCAGCCCCTGCTGGAACATAGGCCACCTACAACAGCTTTCCAGGCATCTCTGTCCTGGGCCAGCCGCTCTAACTGCCCCCAGGTGTGGCCTATCCTTCTCCTATCCGTATCCAAGTCGCAGTGCCAAGAGTTTCTAGGTCGGCCTATCCTTTATTTTCCCTGTGGATTCCAAGTAAGGGTTAGCCTTGTGGTGCTAAATGGAGGTTTATGAACAGTACGTCTACTCCAGTGACTGCTCCAGAATGATACACAGCATTGCAATCTGGTATATACATGATCTGTCCTTACAGAAACCCGCCTGCTGGTCCCATAGCTTTTGAATAAGATGAAAGACACCGACAATAGCCCAGTGAACAGCAGACTGAATCATCTCTTCCTCTCATCTCTTTGTGTGTATGTGGACATTTTTGCTAGATTTAAATAAAACTCACTAGGTATAAAGCACCCCCCTGTATACTGATTGCTTATTCATATTGCAGCCTGACAATATAACAGACAGCTTTTCATCCTAAACACCTCCCTCTGTAACTTCCACAGCCTACTGTTGGACCTCACCAGTAGGCTTCAGTCCAAATTAGCACCTACACCACTAGCATCACCACACAGCGGGCATTCAGACTGAGTGCATTGAAATGCAGTCCCCTGCAGTGTTTTAATGCAAGGTGCTGTGCACAACACTGACATGTTGTGATGAGTCTGTAACATGATGGACTCATTCACATTTCCAGCCCACAAACATAAACAATACACAGCAACAATAGGAAGCTACTTGATATTGCTATTATGTAACTCTGACTTTGAGCCTGACACAGACGCCAAACTTGGGTTCACCAAATGAGGACACACCATTTGGATAACAATCGTCACCTGGATAGTGACCGTCTCCCTGTTACATGAATGGTCAACACAGCACCTTGTCAGATGATGACACTGTGCTTTGCAGAAAATGCAGGGAGAACATTGTAGGCGCATATGATTCAGCCATGTTGTGACAAGTTGACGTAAGTGGCTTCATTCATGTTTCCAGCCGGTGGATTTCTGTTGTGTTTTTGTTAGTCATGGTGCTAACGTAGCCTACTCTACATTAGCACCAATCTCTACCACCAATGTTTTGGCATTGATATACAAAAAACACAGTTTAACATCCAGTGCCCTAACTAATGAAAACCAATGGCATGTCGTTATGGTGCTTAACTGTGGCCCACATTTGACAGTGAATAGTAGGTAAACAAGGTAAACAAAAAAGGCTTCTTCCCATAAACATCCATGTTCCAACCGTCACCTATACAGTATGTGATTGGTCAGTGCAGTGGCTTTGCTGGATGATGTCATTGTCTGATAAGGGGAAAGCTGAACTTGATCCAACTTTGTTATCACATGGAGTTGCGTTGTTTTGCCAGAGCCCCCTGTGGTGCTCGTGCTGGCTGCTGTAAATGCAATCCCCCATAGGAATGAATGAAGAACGCTGTATTTTTTCACACCCTTGAAGCTCAGTCTGAATGTGGGCTTAGCATTACAAGCAAGGAGTGTAAACAAACACTCAAAGGTAAAACGAGGACTTCACTTGTTAGTTTAGAGTTAAACAGTGCTAAA